AAAATATTAAAGTATTATAAGTGCTAGTAGAAGCTAAGAGTGCTACTTTTTGATGTTAAAATTGAGTCGAGAAATTGTTACCAAATGTTTGCCATCCTATAAAACAAAACATTTAGTCATCCACCTCGAGACAGGAGAGCAGACAGGGAAAGCCTCAATTATTGTATTGACTGCAGGCCAGGCAGGATTAGCCAAAGTGACTTAAAGTATGTAACTGACCTTGGATATTACTGAAGTAACTACAAATAGATCTAGACTTCTGGGTAGATACACAGATTGATTTAGCATAATATATAATTTTTATTTCTTTATACTAGCATGAGGAATAATCCATTTTATGTAATAAGTCTATGTTCCTAAAATGTATGGGTAAACTAGATATATTTATTTAAGGCATAGTTTTTCATCGAATTTTATTATTATTTGAAGATGTTGCAGAATCCTTTAAGACTAGTATGTGGTGGCTTCTTAAATTTTACCTTCACAAGATTCTGTCTATCTCTGCATTCTGTTAACAAGTAGTTAAGAATCCTAATTTTAGTGATTATTTAAAATAACATTTTAGTGAATAATTTAATATTGGTTTCTAAAGCCAGACTTTCTCAACTTGTGAAATCTTGCCACAAGCATTGAATTCACATCAATAAATTTATATATAATTAGCACTTTACTTCAGAAATTGATGGCGTGCTTTATTTTTGGAATCCTCTAGAATGAGGGTCAGCAAACTTTTCTGTAAATGACTAAATAGTAAATATTTTTGGCTTTGTGAGACAAGAGGCAAAGTTGAGGATATTATGTAAGTACTTCTATAACAAGAGAGAAAACAAACATTCACGACTTTTTATTATACAGATCTAATAATGAGCACAATAGGATTTGTTTATGGACACTGAAATATAAATTTCATATGATTTTCATGTGTTATGAAATATTATTCATCTGTACTTTTCTCAACCATTTAAAAATGTACAAACCATTCTTCCCATTCTGGCCATGCTAAACTAAGGTGGGCCAGATATGGTTCAGGGGTTGTAGTTTGCCAATCCTTAGCCTAGAACACAAGCTCTTACACAGTAAGTAGTCCATGAACCCACTATCATACTCATTTTAATTTTGTTGAGGTCCTTGAACTTCCTGAGATTGCATGCAGCATTTTGTGCACGCATGAATTTTTCTGCGGACAAGATCCATAGCTTTGATCTGACTCTCAGAGAAATCCAGGACTAAAAAAAGGATTAGGAGCCATTGTTCTAGAGACAATTCATTGATTTTTTAGGAGGCATTTCTTAAAACCCTAATAGTTTCTAAGTACTGTGCAAGTCACTGGGAACCCATGGGAGCTAATCTTGTTAGAGACATTGAAGGTAAATAATTGTCTAGGTGATCTTTTTATTCATAAAATTAGTTGTCGCCACCATTCTTATTGGTTTTATAAAACTCAGAGAAAGTTGATAATCCACACCTCTAGTTCTAGGAGGAAAAGCCTTCTTATATTTTCAAATATTTAGTAATTTAGGTTCAAGTGAATATCTGAAACATATTTAAGTGTCCAGACCATTTTGGGCTATAAATAGAAATCAGATTCAATCTGTTCGGAACCTTCTTCTTTAAAACAAAGATTACCCCACAGAGTGGTTCATGTTAGCTCAACTGACATCTAGGGCTGCAATATAGGTATAAGCGAGAATAAAGTTGCTTATTAATGCAGAATGTGTGAGCCTGTGGGCTGCTTAACTTAACAGGTGGCTGTTAGCTAAAGCTAAGCCCTTGAACGTTCAAATTCATGAAATGGAGTAGTTACCCTGGGGCAGAGGTGGTAGTGAGAAAACAGATATGTCCATTTGAAAATAAATAAGAAGCTCAGGAGTTCCTGCCTATGCCCCACTGCTTGTTTTCATATTTCATATGGAATGTATAACAAATTTAAGAAGGTTAAAATATATTCCAAAGAAAGCAGAAGTTAACCAAGAAAATCCTGCCCCCCCAAAAAAGGAAGGAAAAATTACAAAAGTTCAGAGCTACTGTAAATAGGAAGCATTGCTTACATGTATATTAGGCATAACTATTATTCATTGATCAGAATTTATTAGTCATTAATGATGTTTTTTAATCTGGAAAATCCACTGACCTGCAGGTTTTTCTTTTAATTCATCAGTTTTTGTTTGTTTGTTTTTGTTTTTCTAGTGTAATGATGGTCTTTCCCAATTCTGTAAAAGAAAAAGCAAAAAGTATCCAGGAGAACATGATGGTGACTTTAATGAGAACTTTACTATGAAAGAGAGAAAAAAGTGCAACAAAGAGTACTATCGTGTGGTTCAAATATAGAGATTTTACGATTAGAAGTTCTTTCTATTTTTGAGACAACCATAAATCATCAAATTGATAAGGTCTATCTTTTTGTGGAACCATGCCTGGGTGGCTGTTTCCAAGAGATTTCCATCTCACTATATAAGATAATATCACATCGACTAATTCCTGGGGCTTCATATCTCATTCAATGAAATGTATGATATGTCCCTATAGCCTCTTACATCATAGTACCTAATTATGCTGCGTCAGCCTTTGGCTGACTGTCCTCAGAACTTAAAGCGCCTCCCTGACTTACTGCTCCATCATCTTTCCTGGCACCTGGTGTTACCTCTTTCCTCTTAAAGCTCTTAGCTACCATGACTTCTCACTCACTCTAGTGAATCTTGCCAGTTTTTTTGGGGGTGGGGGGGAGGGAGGAGGGCAAGTTCTTTCTGTTCTTCCTAATTACAATTAGCTAATTTGATAAACTCATCTAAGGTAGAGAGCTAATGGGGAAACCCTTCCTTCCAAGTTAAACGTGGTTTATAATAGAGGCTTCATGGAAAATGATGTGCTAGTGAAAATTTCAAGTCAGAGTAGGGGATGTTGTAGTTGAATATATATTGCTCCTAACTCCATACTCCATAGCTTCCTATTCTACCTGAATTTAGAGCTATTCCTACTAATGTGATTTAGCAGAAGGTGTGGGTACAGCTTGTCAATATAACGGATTCATTATCTTTTCATTGAATGAAATTTTAAAAAGCAACAAAGAACACATGCTATTAGTAATACAGAGTGAAGCTCCATTGGTTGCACATTGTACTAACTACCTTATAGAGTCTATTAGGAATGTACTACACTTAAACATGATTTGTTATTAATTCATTAAAATGCTTAAATTTAGTTTTAAACTTCAGCATTGATTATGTCAGTCAAGCAGTCATTCACTAAGTATTGGGTACTACAGGGGAGACAAGAGAACTATCAAGGAAATTATAACAACATGGAGAAGTAAAGACTCTCACATGTGGAACAAACAAATAGCGAAATAAAGTGATAAATTTATGTGGCTACAGATAAGAAAGGCAATACACATATCAAATTCTTTGAGATCAGGACTTTTTAAAAATAGAAAAACCAGTAAGATCCCCTTTGCTTTTCTAAAGATTTTCTTTACAAGTTATACTCCATATTATGTACTTTATAATCCTGTTATCTTATTTCTTCCTGCCTAACAGGGATCCGTGTAGTATTTTTTGGATCTCCTTTTGAACTGTGGATATCATTTGGACCCCTAGATAAAAGACAAGGTTAGGCAAGTCAAATTAGTTTGTGAAATAAGGTCTCTATTTTTTTTTTTTTTTATGACCATGCCAATCTCATTTTAGGTATATGGCATGAAGTTGTTAAAGCTCTCACTTTTTAAAAATCAACCCCTTTTTCCTCCCTCATTGCTGTCTTTCATAATTGATAGTGGACCAAGAAGAGAAGCAAGTGTTTAATAGAGCAGATGTGAACTATGGTAGGATAGGCAGCCTTCGAGCTAAGTACTGATGGGGAAGAGGAAAGAGGAAGGTGGAACAAAGGGAGCTTTCAGGAGAACCTGAAATCTGCTTGCCAAGAACATGTTTATGAATGAAGACAAGGCAGATTGCCTATATGTGTGCTATCACTGGTGACATGGTTTTTAGATAAAAATGGAAGTACTAAAGAAAACACATTTGGAATAGAATCCATCAATGAGATTTAATTTGGCTAATTCATGACTGTTAAAATCAAGTGGCTTGTTTTCTCAGTTTGCTAATTTGTTACTCAAAGACATGTGTTGGTTTAAAAGCAACTCCTATATGGGAATTAGTATGAGACTAAAAATAATCAGAAGAAACAATGGCAAATTTTGATATGGCTTAGGCTTTCTGAAAGAATGCCTCCTTGTGTAATAATAGGAATAACCTATTTACCTCTAACACTTTTCTCTTTTAAACATACAGACGTCTTTTCCCATGACTCCATCACTTGCAGCTAATCCTGCCATGGCTTTCAACCCTTACTTACCTCATCCTGGAATGGGCCTGGTTCCTGCCGAACTTTTACCAAATGCGCCTGTTCTGATTTCTGGAAACCCACCTCTCGCCTTGCCAGGAGCTGCTGGTCCAAAACTGATGCGCTCGGATAAGCTGGAGGTATTTGCGTAGAAATGTATAAACATCTATAGGGTAGATATTAACCGTATGCATAAAGCAACATTCTCAGAGTTCAGTGTTTTGAATGCTTTGAATAAATGCACCTGGGTTTTTAGCTTATGGAGTATAATTTCAGAAAAACATTAAAACATTTTACTACTGCAACTATACCCTATTGTGAAGTACATTGATTCAGTTGTACTGTATGTCAAACAATGTCTTAGTGTACCCAGCCACAGACTGTGCATCTCCTTTGCCATGACACAGGAAGTTTGGTGGGAATGATCCTTTTACCCAGGCTCCAGCTTCATAGACTGTAATTACTATATTTGTTGACGAGTCTCCATTTGCTAGAATAATCAAACTGAAAAAAAGTAGACTAATATATCTATGAATGGAGAATATAAATGAGTCTCAGAGGGTCTAAACCATGTTCTCCATTTTAAGAATGATGTACTAGATATTAAATATCTCTTGATGCCTAAGAAAAGGAAATCTTAAGAAAAATTGCAAACAGCTTTCTGATGTATGGAAGTCATTCAAACATTATTTTATTGTCATTATTCATAAATTGAAATAAATAACTATTCAATTTCTTACAAAGTCTGCTCCATCAGGAGCTTCTTAAATGCCTGGGAGTATGTAATAATGGGATATAATTGTACATGTAATTCAGTCATGGTCCACAAGCGTGCCTGTGGAAAAGCACAATGCCATGTAATAAAGACTTATATTGGACCATAACGAAATAACTCCCTCTTGTAAACTTAGCTAATTATACTTTAGGCTATATATTAAGTGCAGGATTAAAAAATGGTCTCAAGTAACACTTTTAAGCACTTTTATTTCAATGTAAGGAGAACAACTTTCCTTCGGGGAGAATAAAGTTCTTTTTCTAAGAATAAAAATTTTGTCTATGTTTACATCTCATAGTGAATATGGTTTTACATTATCCTTCAGCTTTTTAGATTTTTTTTCCTAAATAGATTACAAAATAACATAACTATTGCTCTTACATTCACTGGCAAAATAAATAAAAGTTAATCACCTTCTAGTCATCAATGTGATTTTTCTTTTCTTTAAGGTTTGCCGAGAATTTCAGCGTGGAAATTGTACCCGTGGTGAGAATGATTGCCGCTATGCTCACCCTACTGATGTTTCTATGATTGAGGCAAGTGATAATACTGTGACAATCTGCATGGATTACATCAAAGGCCGATGCTCCCGGGAGAAATGCAAGTACTTTCATCCTCCTCCACACTTGCAAGCTAAACTCAAGGCTTCTCATCACCAAATGAACCACTCAGCTGCCACAGCAATGGTAAGAGCAGGCCAGGACTTATGGACTGTATTTTGGAGTAAATGATTAGTATATTCCTCAACATGTTTAAAATCTTGTAACCATAATCTTGGATAGTCAAGAGTGAACCTTAATATGAATAGCCAAGGTTATAAACTGGAAAAGAGAGAACCTTTTTATTCTACTTTATTCACTAAAATTTTCTAAAAGTAATTATTTAAAAGCTTTACTGATGAGTGTAACCTATTATGCTTCTCCAATTTTTAGAGAAGAGAAAATTATTTAATTTAAACAGTAAATGATCTTTGAGTGATTTTTATAGCCTAACTACCCTTATCATCCCCAAAAGGCAGCAAGTTGCCTCTCTGCCTATCAACCACCTTCATGGGTACTTCACTAGCAATATACTTAATGCCTTTCAAAAACAGAGGACTTGGAAGATGGGATGATTAATAGACTCTAATTTCCCAAAGATTAGGGTTCTCTTTCCTTTCTGGAGGAGTGATTTCAGGGTAGCAGCCAGCCAGGGCTGGGGGCACATTTCTACATGGTTGGGAGAAGAGGCCTGGTAAGAAGAGTTGTCCTAGCAAGTCGGATTTGGGGAAAAGTTAGTTCTACTTAACACAGAAAGGTGGAAGCTAGGAAAAATACTTTCATATGACCCTACAGTGGGATAGATTGAGAAACAGGAATTATGATTACTTAAGTTTGTCACAGCTGTCAATTACTTTGATAAGCTGCTTGCTATTTCTATAATTTTTGGCCGAGGACTCTCCTTGTTGAATAGGTTATAACAATCCAATAAGGGACAAAACCCTGAGGAAACTTCACATTTCCTGGCTGTGGAAAAAAATCACCTACACAATCCTAAAACCCTTGACAGAGATCTAATCTTTCATGAGAGAGGATATTTATTTTCAAATACCCCTATTTGTTAACATTTCCTCACCATGAATTGAAATGTACCTTGCTGTAACTGGAACTTACACTTATTTTATTACACAAAATAAGTCAATCCCTATTCCATATGAGTGTGACTCTGATGTCTTTTCTCTAAACCAGGTACCCAAAATTACTTCAAACTTTTCTTGTAGATTATGACTCTAAGGACACAGCACCAGTTTTGGATTTGCTCCACTTTCTTAATACTTCTGTTCTCTCAGAACTGAACTCATTGTTTCATGAGAGATCTGAGCATCAAAGTAGAACTTATTTTCTCTCTTGATCTGGACAACATAATCTGTTAATGAATGTTTAAAAAAGACTTCATCACATGCTTTTTATCTGTAATTCTTCTGAATGAGGGAATTATAAGCTATGAAAGTAAGAAGGTATCCAGAATATTCAATGAGGAATTTAAGCCTCCAACTTTTGGATTATTTCTGTTGGTGGAATAGAGTTCAGAAACATTGTGGATCTATTATAAAGGAGAGGAATACAGTTGACCCCCTAAAAATAAAGGTTCTCATATGCGTGGGATTTATAAAGAATGGCTTCCTTGTGCTATTGTGTGACTGTCCTACACTCAGGCATGGGAACTTCATATGTATGTGCCCATTTCTGATGATCTAGATGTGTTTGGTAGAATGCATATGTCAGTCCGAAATTTCCACATATAAATTTAAGTATTATATGGTAGGCCTTCAATTTACACTTGTGAATGTCAATATAAAATTCCTTTTCTGAGTGACTGATCAGAGCATCTTAGTGGTAAAGTCAAATTGGTCCATAGAAATTTGTCTAAAGTAAGATTAAACAAAAGGAGGTTTTCCATGAAGAAGTTTTAAGTTTTCTATGTTTTTAAGGAATCAGAGTAGAAATGCTTTGTAAAAGGTATTTTTACACTGTTCATGTTCATGTGCATAGCTCAGGTTAATATCACTGAAAGCAGCTTGTATGCATTTAAAAGAAAAAGATTTGAGGGATTGATATTTAGTTTCCCAAAGAAAATAGAGATTCCTTTAGGCCTTCTTTATCCACAGGAGTAAGAAGGTTGTGGCATATCCCTTTTTAGCACGTGGAAAGCTAGTTACTCAGCACAAATATTCCTGTCTCCTTAAGAATTTAGAGTGTACCTAATAGTTGCGGGGACATGTTTTGTTTTTGTTTGTTTGTTTATTTGTTTTTAGTAATATGCAATTTGCTGAGGAAAAAAATGTGATGCCAAACTTCTCCAATGAATCTGATCCAGGAACAAGTTTGGGTATTATAAGCATAGTGGGATTTTGAAAAAAAATTGTAGACATGAAAGGAGGATTTTTAAATGCTAACATGTTTTAGAATTAAACCTTATAAGGCCTTAAAGTAAATGACACACTGAAATCACACGCTTCTGTAAATGAGAATTCCATATATTTTGCTAACTATCTGTGGTATCTGGGTGAGATGGGTGATGGGAGAGGAATGATTCATTTGCTTTTTTCTTTACATGTTAGTTGGGAGATATACAGTTACAAGATTTGGACCTGAAGTCCTTATATAAATTGGGTTTTGTTTTATAGAGCTAAAGTATCAGACTTCAACTACTGATATCTGTTTTATCACCTACCTACCATTATCTTCTAGATACATTTCAGAATTTTATCTGGAAGAAATCTCTTTCCTGCTATAGGTGTTGCCTCTGCAAATCTTATTTTAATAGATTAATAGATGAGTATCCTTATATGTTAATTTTAAATACTTATTTGCTTTTAACAGCTTCCTGTCACATCCTGCCCAAATAATAATGTCTTTTTTAATTTGCCTAAATTAATGAAGTTGAAAAGTTTTTATTTTCCTTGTATGTTTATTTTCTGCTTTTGACTAAGTCCTCATTTAGTGAACTGTTTCATCTCCGCAGTTGGTTACATTGCTTGATGGATATCCTTGCAGAGGGTTCCCAGACAATACTTCATTTAACTGCTGCTTGTTTGGTTTGAGTATATTCTTTACTTTCTTTGGTACTACTTATTAATCCATCCCTCCCTCACAGGCCCTACAGCCTGGTGCACTTCAACTGATACCAAAGAGATCAGCATTTGAAAAGACCAATGGGGCCACCCCAGTCTTCAATCCCAGTGTTTTCCATTGCCAACAGGCTCTGGCTAACCTGCAGCTCCCACAGCAGCCGGCATTTATTCCTGCAGGTGAGAACAAGGCTCTGGGTACTGTGAGTGTAATGATGTTGTGAATGTATACAGTGCACACCAGCTCCCAAAGAGCTTTTATGCAAGTACTGTCAACAGGTGTTTTAACTGGGAATAAAACAAGGCAATTGTGTTTGCTCTGCTAGTATATATAATAAATTTTCCCCCTACGATTCCTGAAAATTAATGGTTTGAAATAAAACTTGGAAAAACTGTCAATATTTTTCTTTTTAGCATTTGTTAATTTTTGCTTCTTATCATTGATTCACTTGGTTCAGTCTCAAACTAATTCCTTGACTCTTAGGTATTACTGTCAAAGATACTGGTCCTCAAAAATGTATATATATTATATCTTTAGCATTGCAAAAATATGTAGTCTATATATCTTTGATATACCAAAAATAGTTTATAATAAAACTACCCATAAATTTATAATATAGCATAATATAATATATATGTACATATGTGTGTGTGTATATATGTGTGTGTGTGTGTGTGTGTGTGTGTGTATATATATATATACCTGTTTTAGCTTCCAATTCTTAAACCAGTTAATATAAAAAATATAGCAGGTTTTCTGACAAATTTTCCTGATACTTTGCAGCATATTTTGTTACTTCCTACATTCAACTATATTTAATAGTATAATAGTTTTATACCAAATTGAATAAAAAATTTAAGCCAGAACTCTGTTCAAATAAATATCATATATGAGGGAAAATACTTTTCTAAGTGATTCAGTACTTTAAGAATGAGCATATTGTCTCAGGAATAAGTTGAAAATACTAACTACCCCGAGTACAGTAGTTTTTTTTTTTTTTTTTTTTGCCAGAATTAAAAATACAAAGTTTAGAAACTGTTATTAAATGAAAATGACATGTTTTAGAAATTAATTTAGAAAGCCTTGTTAATTATATAAACATACTATATGCATAGTATTATATAATTGGACTTTAAATAAACTGTTGGTTAATTGATAAATTGATCAGTTAAGAAATTTTGAAAGAAGCCCAAGAAAGACAGTCTTTTGTCTAGTTACTAACCGCAATAGCATTTCATTATATCATTTAAAAAACACAATTTTTACAATTTTTAGACTTTTGCTGGATTTGGCTAATTTAGAATCTAGATTTCTAAACAAAATATCAGAAGAATCCTTTCCTTTTTAAGAATAGCAAAATAAAAATCTCTCTGGCTGAAAGTCCCTTCTTGATGAAAAACCTATTTGCCACATGTTCATAGTCAAGTCCTCAGTTGCAAGGTAGAAGAGGAAATGATGATAAATTAATGTTCTAAATAGAGCTATGGACATCAGGTACCAGACCCTGGTGCATATTTTGAAAATAATATGTGTAATAAATTCTTCTTTCGTGATAAAAATTGCTAAGGATGCATTTGTCCAAAATAAATAAAGGATGTAATTTAAGTGAGGTAATTCCTTTAAAGAAAAATTAATATTCATTTTATGCCTAAGAATCTAAGAATTACTTTGATTACCTGGGTTTGTGATCTTAAAATTAGGTTGTAATTATAAGCATGGAAGATTACTGGACTTGCATGTGCTAATTAATTAGTATTGCAAAGAATATTTTTCTAGTTAAAAATTATTTCTAGCAGTAAAGCTTTAATAATGAAATATCTCTTTTCTTTACTTTTCACGCATTTCTGCATGGTGTACAGGGCAAATACTGTGCATGGCACCTCCTTCAAGTATTGGTAGGTTTTGTACAAAAATTCTCAACTTTTTCTAATCCGAATAAAAGTATTTTTCTGTTGTGATTGTGATAGAGATGAGTGACTGAATGATGTGGCTGGACATTTCTGAGTATTTAAGGTTTAATATGGTGCTGTTTTTATGTCTTTGTGGAATCACAATAGTCCTGTACTCTTAAGTCCTAATTGGTTGTCACTATGGCCAAATACTGACCCTGACATTTCTCTAGTTTGACCCTAAATATAACAGCTGACATATTTTAAAACATTTTTTTTTAATCTAGCCGGGATGGGCAGTTTTGTTCTAAGCTTCACATCCGTTACTAAGAAATTATAAAATATTTAATATATAATTTTGTTGTAAAGTACAAAAACATTCCTCCAAAAAAAAGTTATCCATAAAATCTAAATTATTCAATACTCAAATGTTTAGAAAGGACGAGTTAGGCAAAGCTAGAACATTCTGTAGTGTTCTGTGATGAATTCTATAGTGTTCTAGCATGAAGCACCATCTGCACAGAAACCAGGCACAACAGAATCGTTTCAAAATGACTCTTTGGGGGTATGTGATTTTTAACCAGTTACACACGGTCCTTTAATTAGCCACCAATAAAATATGTTAGCCATCTTGAAACCATTTTTAATATCAGTAATATAGAAGAAGACAAAAAAGTGACTTGTTTCATTCTCAAGAATTCCTGAGAAGCTCACTGCTCTAATAGTCACCATGGGCATGAGGAACAGATCAGGAGAAAACAGCTTTGTTTGAAACAGGGAGGAATTATCTCACCTCGCTCCACTCCACTATCTCATATCAATTCAGTTCCTTTTATCCTTTTTGAGAGTTTGCAATAGCTTGACCTTTATCCTATTGGTCGACCAGAGTAGATGCAGAGCCCAAAAAAGGACTAAAAAGCTTACTTAAATAAAACAAAAAGTCAAAACAACAATCACATAGTAGTAGCACTCACTGACTCAGCAGGGTGTGAACCCTGGCAACTGAAGTGAAGCCTCTGTTATTGAAGGATTGCCTGTCTTCTGTAATAATGAAAAACATTTCCAATGATATTAACAGGAGCACTATATGCATATGATTAAAAGAACTTCTGCAAGTCTGTGAAATATGTCTCTGTCTTCACATTTTGTGACTCTGCTTCCCTGTCCTTTCACCAAAGAGCTCTGTGTAGGAATGTAAACCGCATGCTTCAGTAGTACTATTTCCTGTATAGTTGCTGCTTTCCCAAAGGGAAAATAAGAATGTTTTTTTTTAAATTGGCATGTGTATAATACGAGATGTCTATAAGTAATGGATAACTACAGATAGGCATAAGGAATAACTACGGAATTTCTGTTAATCACCATTTGGGGTACAATTGCAGTTTCTATGACACTTGCAATGTGTTGAGTTTCCTCTCTCCAGGCCATTCACTTTCTCTGTAGACTTTTAGAAAAATTTGAATTCAATCAATGTAGATGTAAATTATTATACATGCATGCTTGCCACTCACACATTAATTCCTTGGTTTGCTTTCCAAAATGAACTAGAAATGAGAAAAGCATCTAAAAGCTTTTAAAATGAAGTAGAAACTTGAAAAGGCAAAGAGAAAACATACTGAAAGAGGTGTCACAGGTGTGGGCCATTGTAGCTGTAATATTCACGGTGAGGACAAGGTTTTGTCAGATTTTTACTATGAAATATCCCATGTGTTTGTCTGATCAATAGCCCAAATTACTAGGAGTTTGCCAGAGGTGTACTTAAAAACTTGCATATGTAAGTCATTGTATTCTTCATATCTGCTCCCCTACCATATACCTACCAATTGAACTACCATTTTTTTGGCATACAGATCAAGTAAGTATACATAGAACTGACCCTTTGAACCTGCAAATCTAATGACAGCATTCATGGCTATTCATTAGCGAACCCAAACCCCTACTCCCATTTTGAATGTGCAACTAGTCCTCTTAACTAGTTATTCATACAGATAGCTTAGATAAAATCAGATTTTATCATATGTACCCATTGTAACTCCTTCTGAAAATTTGGCCTCTTAAGTTATTATATGCAAAAACTAAAAGTTGAGGATAATTCTGTTTTCCTTAATGTTTTCCTTTTCTCTTTCAAAATTTTCCTCCATTCCATGCTGTGTTGCTTTGCACTGACTGTGATTGCATGTTGCACTCTGGTGTATCCATCATGATGACATCGCATGGCTTATTGCTGTGATACCTACCACACCCCATTCCATTGTTTATTTCATGGTTGCATATATGCTTCACCCTCCCATGTGTTGCTTCCATGGTTTCCCACTGAAAGTGCCCATGATGCACGGCGCTCCACCTACCACTGTGTCTGCAGCAACAACACCCGCCACCAGCGTTCCCTTCGCTGCAACAGCTACAAGCAATCAGGTTTGGCCATTTATTTCATGAAAATAATTGCAGTATATTGGTAAGATACAGGATATGCTTTTTGGATTGGTGAGAGACATTGGTCCATATTCTTATATGTTTCTTAAGCAGTTGTTACATTTAGAATTCTTATTTTTGTTAATTCTAGAGGGCTGTATCTACTTTGCTCCTTATCTTGAGATCAATTGGCAGTTTTCTCATTTTTAATCAGTCATAAGATGTCTCTCTCCATATGCTATATGTACAATTGTTGCAACTAAATCCTTAAATGTATATACTAAATATTTCTTAAATGCTTCCAATTTGGTCTAAAGATGACTTTATTTTACTACCATTTTTGGTTATTGCATTTAAATTTTCACTTAATACAATCATCACCTTTACCTTCAGATCTATTGGAAAGAAAGCAAATAAACACATTTCTTTCCAAGGCACAGATATCCCTAACATTACCCAGTAATTGCATCAGAAATGCCTTCTCATACCAACATTAGATGTGCTTGTGTTATTTTAATCTTCATTTGCTTTAGGTATTTACAGGCAGAGTCACAAGGCATATTATAAATTTGGGGGGAGGCTTGAAATGTAAGGAGATTCATACAATAATTATTGTGTAATGCTATGGCTATTTCACCTTGTAAAAGTGGTAACCATGCTTAACAATTACAAATTCCACTGCTGTTTCAATGACAATTATGATAACCATATAGCACACAAAGCATTGATTAATTGGGGAACAAATCACATTCTAGTCTGTGCTTTGCAAAATTAACTATTAGTGGATATGGTAAATATGTCTAAATTTTCCTGTGAAATTGATTATGATATTGATCACCACGTCCAAACAGTAAACAAAATAAATGGAATTCTCTAAAGAAATTATTTTAATCTAAAATTTTTTTACTACTATAGATATCCCCATTATCAATAGATGAACTGAATAGCAGCATGTTTGTTTCACAGATGTAGAAGTTACCAGTAGAACAGTAAGTTTCTTTATGTATTAATGTAAATAATATTTATAGGTTATATCTTTTATTTAAACAATTTTGCATTTGCTAAATCTTTGGTAAATATTTTCATTAATAGACATTGCTTATAACTTAGAGCTTGATTTAAGCATTCTAAAATTTCCAAATTGAAATGTAGAGAGCAAGTATATATTTTTTACATAAAAATGGCAGCAGTATTGCATTTTTCCATTGAACTTACAAATTCTGAAATGTTTTCCTATTATTAAAGGGATATTATTTGTTAGCCGAAGACAGAGGTCACTTTTGAATTTTAATTCTTAACATTTTTCTAGCTTCTTTTTTAAATTAAAGTTAAGCAAAGTAATTTTGTCACAATTTGGCTACAATGGTTATCTTAAAGATAGTAAACAATATGTTCTATGTCATTATAGAAAATAGTGTTTTTACAGTCTGCCACTTTGTACTGCTTCTCATGTAAGTCTGTCAGAATTGCTCCAGCTGTTTTGAATTTTCAGTGACATAATTTAGTAATTTAATCATTATTTTCATTCAAATCATGGCTTTTTGTGTATATAATTTGTTGTTGTTTGTTGTTGTTGTTGTTGTTGTTAGGTTTTTCCCTCTTCGCCTTTGATCTTCTCTTTGCCTGGTCCAGAGTTTGGAATAGCACACATTTAATTCAGGCAATTATTCATTTAGAACATGTGACTTTTGAAGCCACCAAGACTCCTAGATATTTCAATTAATTAATTATAGAAACTTATTAAACAAGTGTACCAATTCTGAACGGCATACATTAGTCATTGAAAATTTGAAATTCTCACAACCAGAGGGTTTCATCTGAATGAAGGAGTTTCATTCATTTGATAGGCTAGTCTTCCAGAACCCGGCTAGCATTTATTTCTTGCTAAGGCTGCATGGACCCAGAATACTAACTGTTCTAGACAGAGCCTATAGCTGACATATCTTAGATTAATTGGTCCCTTCAATCATAAGAAATGTTTTTAAAAGAAACCTTTGACTACATTGGATAACTGAAGTAACTGTGAATTGTAGTAGTTTTCAGGAGTATCATTAGGGATAGTGGCAGTTTGGGAATAGCACCAAGCATGAGACAACTGTTTTGCAAACAGTTGCCTGATTCTCTTGGGCTGCTTCACCTCAAGGTAAACAAAAGTTGTCAAATTCCTACTTTCCAGCAGAAAATAAGAATAGCAATTCCTTTTTGCTTGTTCCATTAGAAAATTTAGAGGTATTTTGTACATTATAATCACTTCAACATGTAACAGATGTTAAAAATTTCTCTCAAGTTCAAAAAATGTAATTTCGTAAAATACTATATAGTACCTAGATTTCACAGTTAGATTATTTTGGCATGGCTCCAACACATTCAGATAAAAAGTTTTCTGCAAATCTCTAAAACATTCAGAAATAAAGTTTAAAGTTTGCATATTTCAATGTTTGGAATCAAACATTTTTTTTTCAATGAATACTTGTTGAAGAAAGTAGATAGATGGGTGGATCTTCATCAACAAGTTTTGGCATTGTGTATATAATGTCTACAACAATTGAATGCATCTCTGTTAACGTAGGGCAGTTCTGAACAATAGCACTCGGTGAGAATGATAGGCTGTCATGGTATATGACTCTTTAGAGACCATCTCCAACAGCCCCATTTTTACAGATGTAGAATATGAAATTCAGAGCGAGGACTATCTTGGCATAGTTCCAATAAAGAACTTGAATAAGAACCAAATTCCTGACTCCTATTTCAATAATCCTTCAATATTTCTCGCTTTTTTTTCCATTTCAGTTGTAATTCTGAACAGAGTTGTGAAGTATCAGAATCCCTCCGTGAGAACCTTCATATGGCCTTTCTATATATATTCCTGTATGTTCTCTTCTACCAATGCAACAATAAACACGGTGCAGTTGATATATTAAACAATACAAAAATACCAACCAACAAATTCAAATTAAAAATAAAACATTAAAGAATCAATGCATATGTTAAAACAAAACATGAATAGAAAACTATTATCTGTCTTATTTGAATTATTAGAATACCACCATAAAATTTTGTAATTTTTACATTATTCTGTGTGATTTTCTAATAACTATTCTGCTATGTGGATCTCCACAGTGGATTTTTGGCTTACTGTGAATTCTTGGTGGATAAATGTTCATCTCTTTTGAAGTGTTACCTTACTACTTTGTTTACACAGTAGCCTACTGGGTTAATTTAGAACATAATAATTATATCCAAATACCATTTTTCCATTTTTATATTGTATTGTATTGTGGTATGTTGTGTTTTGCTGTAATATGTGTGGCATTTGATTTCAACTAAAATGTTATTAATGGGAAACTGAAATATGTGTTCTTGAAAAATATGACAGATTAATGTTAATATGCTCTCTCTAGAATATTTCTGTAGGTTTCTTGGGGGCAGACATATAAAAGACCTCACTTTTGAGTGTTCACATGCATGTGAATAATTTATACCTGCAGATCTGACCTTGTATCACATTATTAGATTTTTTGTGAGACATAATCACCTACAAAAAACAAGGAATTTCTTAAAACATTAACCTCCAATTTCACTCCTTAAATAGCTTGGAAAACTAGAATTTACCTTTAAATGATTTTTTTCAGCATTTGTACTAAAAAATACCCGTTACAATTTTTGTGGCTCAAGGATCCTATCTCCTAGGCTAAGTGTCTAAAACAGCCATTTGTCATCTTCAGCTGAAAAATTGGTACTTGGAGGATTAAAGGCATGCTAATTACAGATTGTAAATTAAACAGAAGATTGGGGCATGGAGATATTTTTTACATATTGGAGAGAAGTGTGTAAAAACCGTTGCAATGTAACCTTTTACACAAGAGCCATTTTCCAAATGCAAATGGCTCATGCTCTTTAGACTACTCTGACTAATAAGTAAGCTGCAATCTAGTATAAGTCAGTCAAGGTGAAAGAGAATTGGTTCTAAGCGAGGCTTTTCCACTCCAAATGGACACTCTTTTCTATTGATCACAGTTGGAGCCTGAGAATAGGTTTGGAGAAATGGCAGAGGTGGGAAAGAAGATAGGAAGACATTTAAAATTATTCTTTGATTTATTTAAAAGTTCTGGGAGGGATGTCCACAGTTGTCTTTAGCTCTAGTTCACCTGAGTTTCCAGATTTGTTAAACATTTCAGTGAAGAAGAAAGTGCCTGTGATATACGTCAAGTGCCCTTCTCAAACTTTATTAACAAGAGTTTCATCATAAACAATGTTGTTTTGGACTCAGTTGTTTTTATATATATTTGAAAATTACAATAGAGAAGTTTTTAAGACCCTTTGGATGAGACAGAGTGGCTACTCTCCACAGAGCTGAGCTGAATTCACATTACTAATTCTTATGAAATAATTTTATAATCAAGTAAAATAGTAATTAATTCTTATGTTATGTAGCATATCTCCTCCACTCTATTCAGTCATTAAAGTCACTATTATTATACAGTGCTGGAACCATATGACATTTTGCATCAACTTAGATTTAATATTTTTCTACTAAATATATATTCTCTTGCTGGAAGTTATAAAATCATCAAATGTGTATCACCAGTTTGTTTTCTACTTCATGAAAATGATAGACAAAGGGAAAATCTGATTTAGGATAATTTAAGTAAGCTAGTAGTGTTTGAATCAAAGAAATATCCCCTGACTCCAACCCAAAGCAGATCAATTTGTCTCAGAATACAAAGGAGCAAAATTAGCTCTTTGATATTTGATATCCTGTTGATCTTAATTATCAATCCAAATCATGATCATCAGTGATTTCTAAATGGTCTTAATTGTGTCAAGCCATTGCCATCTGTTAACAGTATTGCCAGGAGTTAAAGAATAAGAGGTATCCTGACTTTTACTTATTGATTCTTTGAACCACTTAATTACTCTATCCCCAAATCTTAACACTGTTAGAGAAGAAAGGAGGGAGGACCTTTGTGAAATTAAAAAAAACTGTGCCAGTGCCTCTCCAGAAGGGCAGATCTGATCACAGGACTCCAGGAAGGATGCACCTGCGCTAATCAAGATTTACAGCTGTTTTCATGTTGCTTTAAGCACTGGAAGACAATAATAATGACCTATTTTTAGCAAGAGGTTCGGTGAAGATATTCAGGTAGTTGTATTTTGGGTGCCACCAGTTTTGATATTGTTGGCATTTTAAAAGTTGCTCTATAAATGAATTTAAAGAAAGAAAAGTCAAAGCATTAAAGTTTTGATCTAGATGCAAATGAATTTTGACAAAAAATGCAATTTTAAGGTAGCATTCTTTAAACTAGTTATGTAATGACATTCAAATTACCTTTATTCAAGGAAAGAAAAGGTTAGTCATTAGACTATAAAAAGAGAAGTCACAAAATCAGTGACTCTAAACAATAATTTACTAAATGAATTGTATATATATAATTCTAATCACTTGTGATTCTTAGTTTATTAATATTTTATAAGCTTTGTAATTTACTAGGGCCTCTATTTTTACTTACCTGAAATTATTGTTTTTGTCTATTTCTCTCAGCCTTTTGCAAAAATATGCAAGAATGCTGAAACTTGAATAAAATAAGTCACATATATAGAGAAAATAGTATGAAAGTTATCTTTTAAGAGGGTTTTAGTAGTGTCAACTTTTTTAAAAACACTGTGACCATAAATTTATTTTAAAGAAAGATTAAGATTAAATTAAAATTAAACAGATTCATAAAATTGCTATGTAAATACAGTATTTACTTAAGCAATTGGAGCATAGTTACACAACCATTGCATTTCATTTCATTTGTCTAAATTAGTCTTTAATTTGTAGTTAATTGTGATGTGAAAAGCCATCTTCTCCCTACTCCATGTTTTTGAACATGCTTTAAAGTACTTTGATCTTGCCAAAAGTGTTGTCCTACACCACTAGGCTGCGTTCCGTATTGGACAGCCTCAGCTCACCAGCTCTCTCATTTGAGGAAAGC